AGACTTCCTTGCCCAGTTCACATTCACCATTTGCCACACCCCCGGCAAAAGCAACCGCGTTGCCGATGCCCTCTCGCGACGACCCGACCACAAGCCCCCCGAGAAAGTCTACGCCACCATGACTCATATTCAACTCCTTCCATCGCTTCATCATCGATACACCCAAGGCTATCTCTCTTGCCCAGACTTCGCCACCATTTACAACAAGCTCCGCGATCTTGACTCAGTTCCCGACTACTCCCTTCACAACAATCTCCTCTACATCGATACCAAAGGCACTCGCCGACGTTGCATCCCCGACGCACGAGGCCTCCGTACTCAGCTGTTGGCCGAGCACCACGACGCCAAGACCGCAGGACATCTCGGTTTCCAGAAGACCTTCGACACCATGTCCCGCTACTTCTACTGGCCTTCCCTACTCGCCGACGTTAAGGCATACATTCGCTCGTGCCCCACGTGTCAAGCTGTCAACCCCTCGAACCGGGCCAAACGCGGCAAGCTCCAATCATTGCCCATCCCAACTCACCGGTGGCAGTCCATCTCCATGGACTTCGTGTGCGGCCTCCCCAAGACCAACCACGGGCATGATTGCATCTACGTCATTGTCTGTCGCTTGACCAAATGTGCCCACTTCATCCCTCCCCAAGACCAACCGCGGGCATGATTGCATCTACGTCATTGTCTGTCGCTTGACCAAACGAGCTCGCACAGTGCCAAAGACGTCGCCACACTCTTCTTCGACCATGTCGCTCGCCATCACGGCCTCCCCGGGAACATCATCAGTGACCGTGATCCTCGCTTCCTTTCACAATTCTGGAGACCGTGATCCTCGCTTTCTCTCACAATTCTGGAAACACCTATTCACGGCCTACGGAACCACGCTCAAGTATAGCACTGCATTCCACCCACAGACCGATGGACAAACAGAGAAGATGAACGATACACTCCAAAGAATCCTACGGAAGTATTGTCATCCACACCAACACGATTGGGATCAGTTGCCCACAGCCGCCGAAATTGCCTACAACAATGTTGTCTGCCCCTCCACAGGCATGTCCCCTTTCTACCTCGACCTTGGCTACCATCCCCGCTTGCCCTCTGATTTCTTGCTTCCCTCGCAGCTCAGCCCCTCCACCCGTTGCCCCTCTCTCAATGAATGGATAGGAACAATGAACAGACTCCTCAGAGAAGCAACCGAAGCCCTTGAAAGAACACAAGAACAACAAGCCAACAAGACTAACAAACACAGACGTGACGTGTCATTCAAAGTAGGGGACAAAGTCTGGCTTTCTGCCAAACGCTTTGAACCCGAACAAGGCTTGTCCAAGAAACTCTCGAACAAGTGGCTCGGTCCCTTCCCCATCATTGAACAAACCTCCCCCGTCAACTACAAACTCCAACTCCCCCCTAACATGAGTCGTGTCCACCCAGTCTTCCATGTCGAGTACCTAAAAGAATACCATGAATCCCCTCTCCAGTTCGCCGACCGCCCATTTCCGAGACCTCCACCAATCATGCTACCCACAGGCCCTCAATTCATTGTCGAAACCATCATCGGCCGACGAACCACTCGGGTGTCTGATCATCCGGAACCAATCACTGAATACAAAGTCAAATGGACCGRATACCCCGACGAAGAATCTACATGGGAACCTCTCTCTAATCTTAAGAACGCCATGAAACTTGTCCGCGCCTATGATCGTGCTAATCCTACGTCCTAGATACCTATATCACTATGGCATAAACCCCC